AGTCTTGTAACTACATTTGCAGGAGGATGAAAGAGTATAGAGAATCTAGAGGAGGCTGGACTGGATGGCACATGCCTTTAATCCCAGCTCTTGGGAAGCAGAGGCAGATCTTCTGTGGCTTTGAGGCCATCCTGGTCTACAGAGAGAGTTCTAGGCCAGTCAGGATTATAAAGTGAGACCTTTCTCAACAAACAGACAATGAGAAAGTACAGCACTGGTCTCAGTGGTCTGTTTAGCTTGTTTCAAAGAAACTGAAAACCTGAGTGAGACTTTCCTTTCCAGCAAGGTTATTTTTGTTCTCTAGCCTGCTTCTGGTTACCAAACACATAGGTAAATACAGGTAAATACGAATGACTCTGAACTGAGGTTACACTTTTGCTTCCATTTCCTTAGGAAACAGTGGAGTAGATGAAGTCTGAGGGAAATTCTGAATTAGGAAACATGGAGGGCATGTTCCCTTCTTTCTCTGGTCACAGAGAATTTTGCAGAAATATCTGTACATCTACGTCTCATTCATCCAATAAAGACTTTCTCAAGTGACTCCCAGCTTATAATGTGACAAGACCAAAACAGTCCTGCTGTAATAGGAGTGTACCATCCCCAGTGCCCAGTTTCTCACCATCCCCCACAGTTCTTGCTGCTAAAGAAACTTCTGTGCAAGCAGTGCAGGTCATCTTACCACTTGTCCAGTTCACACAAGCATGATTGTAGAAGTCTGAAGACATGGGCAGAACGGAATGTTCACTGACAGAATAGATAAAAGCCATGAGTGGTATTTTATTCATAAGGATGTCAGCATATTTTTACCTTGAAACAGCTTCCCAAATGTAGTGGATACCAGGATTTATAGCAGTTTCATGAATTTGAAAAGATCTGTGGTCTAGTAAATGCTGCTTGTTAGAGAGACACACTGATAATAACCATCAATAAAAGCTTATAGAGCTGGTGTGCAGATACATGTCATCTAAGCACTTGGGAATCAGAGGCAGGAGGTTTTCAAGTTTAAGACCAGCTTAACGTATTGAGTTGAAGACCAGCCTGAGTTACAAGAGCAAGAGCCTATCAAGAAAAACAGGATATATGGAAAAAGAAAGACAGGAGTTGATGTTGGGGGATGTTCAATCACACTGTGAACCCCGAGTTAGCATTTGCGTTAATTAAATAAAATCAATCTTGGGTCAGGAGGTTAACAACTAGTTGACAGAAAGTAATCATAGAGCATCAGAGGACATCTGGAAGAGACAGAGAGACACACCAGAAGTAGTAGGGAAGGGTTTTGAGTGGCATGGCTTTTTTTGTTTGGGCGGAGCATTAGGACACTCTCTTGGGGAGACATCAGCAAGGAGAGATTAGCTTGGTGCTACTCAACCTCTCTGAGCTAGCAGGTTTTCACCCCAGCCTTAGAGTCTTCAGTTTTATTTATAAACAGAACAACAGAGATTTAGTTAAAGCCACCTTTAGTGGCAGCAGCGGCGGCAGAGCCAAAGCCTGCCAGGCTGTGGCCTGAATGGCCAGGCCACTGCCAAAGAAGCAGGCTAGTAACTGCAGAGTCAGCTGCTGGCTGAAAGAGCAGATTAAGACAGCCACTGTGCTGTAGATAAAACAACAGGTTGAAGAAATGGCTCAGTCAGTAAACCACCTGCTGTGTAAGCATGAGGACCCAAATTACATCTCTGGCACCCATGTAAAAGCTGAGCATGGTGGCATATGCCTGTAAACTCAGAGCTAGGGAAGAAAAGTTAGGAAAATGCCCACAGCTTGCCTGCAAGCCAGACTAGCCAAACCAGTGAGCTCCAGTTTTAATGAGATATGCTGTCTCAGAAAATAGGGTGGATAATGATTTAAGAAAACACCCATTATTGACTTATGACTTCTCTCTCTCTCTCTCTCTCTCTCTCTCTCTCTCTCTCTCTCTCTCTCTCTCCACACACACACACACACACACACACACACACACACACACACACCATTAAAAGAGCAAACAAACAGAATACTACAAAAATAATTTTTAAAATTAATCAGCTATTATTTTCTAAGTTATGTTAAACATTTTGTTCATTGTCTTTAAGTACAAATAAGTTAGGATGCTGGTGAGTAGACACAGGGAGAAACATTTTTTTTCTGCCAAATAAAAAGGAGTTCAGAACTTTATACCCATAGAGGGGCTCATGACAAGTCAGTGGGTTAGTTGAAGACAGACACATCTAGAAGATACACAACATAGGGCTCAGGATATCAATAGTGAATTGTGAATTTCATGTTCAGTGTTCTTAAAAAAAAAAAAGGTGGGAGAAGCGAGGCATGGCTGAGCAATACAGTAATCCCAGCACTTGGAAGAGACCGAGATGGGAGGATTTCTGTTTGAAGCCAGCCTGGGCTACATAGTAAGACCCTATCTCAAGTAAAAATTGTGGGACAAAGTGAACATTAGGAAGACATATAGTATATGTCCATTACTTTGGCCACGGTGGTAACTGTGCCTGTGTGCACATGTCAAAAATCATCAAACTATACATATTAAGTATATGCAACTCTTTGAAATGCAGTTCTTTTTTACTCTAACTAATCTTTTATTTAAAAAAAAAATAGATGCAATGCAATCTACACACAAAGCATGGTGTTAGTGTTTTCCCAGTCCTAGAAGTTCTTGCTTGGTGGTAATTCCCACAGTCACAGTAATTCCTAGTGAATGAATACAAGAAAACACTACCATTCTCAAACTGGACATCCCCTGGAGGTAAAAGAACACAATGTATTGTCCTTTATCTTGAAAAAAAAATGTAAGAACTACACTAAGTCTGGTAACCTGACTTCTGAGAATTTTAGAATATAATTTTTTTAAAAGCTGAGGTTTTCAAAGCAAAAAACATATGCTCAGCTTTTCTCTGTTACCATGTTATCAGCTTCCTGTACCCACATAGCCCTTAGCCTTCAAATCCCTCAATGATGTCCTCCTGAGATCCCACAGACTGATAGTTTAGATAAATTATGCGTCCAATCTTGGCAGCCATCTCTCCTATTTGTAAGAAGATCAAGTAGTCCTTTGAAAAACACCTGAAGGACAACACTATTGCCAATGCTCACAAGTTTACAGTGTAGAGAGCACTGAATGACAAAACTCAGCACAGACAGTACCCATCATACTTCCACAGGGCCACCATCCATTTCCTCTCCTTCTACTGCCATCTGCTCAACCTTCGGTCTTCACGGCTTCCAAGCCTCTACACATGATGTTTTCTCCATCCTTTCTCACTCTGTCTGATGGGAAAATCCATCATTACCCTTGGAGATACTGCTATGTAAAACAGCCTCCAGAAGTTAGTGGCCCCCTTCTCGGAGCTTTTATAAGCCTCGTTCTTATCTCTAGAGGAACACCTGCCACATTATGTCAAACTATATAGTGAATCTAAGGTCCAGGTCTTAATCACCTATCAATTAACACAGCCCCTGGAAGGGAGTATATATTCAATGCCTTTGAATAATGAATGAGAGTCACTGTCAAAATTGTCCTATATTTCTGCAAAAATAGCTTAATAATGTTGTTGACTTTCTTTTCTATAAGAAAGTGTGATAGGAGAAAGATTAAGAGCATGATTATGTCAATTACCACAAACTTACCCAAAAAATTAGAGAAAAATTCCTAAAATCAGAATGTAAAGTATGGTTTTAGTGACAAAAGTGTTTCCTTAACTATGTGCTTTTTAAGTTCTCCTTTCTGTCACCAGAGCATAATGAAAAAATAACACATAAGAGTACCCACTTTGTATCAAAAGAATTTTTGCTTGTTTGCAGAACTTGGGGAAGGTAAATCTAGGACCCTCATGCATGGGGGGAGGGAGCTATATCCCAAGCCCCAGAAGAGTCATTTTAAAAGATCTAAATAGAGTTGAGGTGTGCAGTGTTAGATACTTGCCTAGCACCACAAAGATCTCTGTTTGGTCTCCAGCACAACTAAAGAAAAAAAAAAAAAGCCAAAAAGGATTTTATAGTTGAAAGGGACCTCTTAGTTATCCAACTTAATCCTTTACCATGCATGAGTCTCTATACAATGCCTGACAAATGCTCAACTATCACTAGAAACTTCCATTGTTGGAAAACACATTACTTAAAGAGGTATATGATCCCCTGCTCTGACAATTATAATGCCCAAATCATTAGCCATCAGCTGAGTCTGTCCATCCTTTCTAAAGTCTTTTAAATTTCAGTCTTTGCTTCTTAAACCCAGGGCATACTCCTTCCTTATATAGCACTATAAAGAATATATACAGCTATATAATTATCCCAAGTCATTTCCAGTTTCACTCAACTAATTTCATATGCCATATTGTTCAACTTTTCACCAAACTAATTTATGTCCTCAAGGCACATTCCAATTTGTCTTTAATAAATTCTAAAGAGAAGTTTAGAACATACTCCAAGTGAGACCTGCCCAATGTAGACAATTTTCTAGAACAGCACTAACATATGTCTAACATACCTCTCATCCTTTATTCCATACTGTTCAAACTCATACTGATCCTTACTTGAGCACAGTCGTACCTTGGCAATGGTTAGCAATAAGAGGGTAGACAAAGCCTGGGTGTGACCAGAGACAAGAGAACTGACCTAATTCTGAAAATGGCTCTCTAGCTGAGAGGCAAACTGCCTAAGTGGTTGCTGTATCAAGGATGTTGAAGCATTCTAGACAGGTGAAAAGCAACATTTGACATGGCTAGTGACAGCGTCAGGTACCCATTAGGTTTTGGAACAGGATCTTAGTCATCGGTTGCAAAACATGAATCAGGACTGAATCCTTAGGATAAGAGAAAGCTTGAGGTAAACTGAAGTCAAGAACACTAAGGTGGAAAGGACTACATTCAGAGGAAACAGGTAATAAGAATTAAAGAGGCTTGGGGTGGGGGTCATAAAGTCATTGAATTCTATCATATCCAATTTTTTAAGCATAAGCTGCTTGTGTAAAAATAGAGATAATAACACATCCTTGGAAGAACTACTGCAGGATAATGTGTGCAAAGTAGGAAATGTGATACAAGATACTATCAGAACTACTATCAGGATAATGTATACAAAGTAGGAAATGTAGTTAGTGTTTATTAAATGTTGTTACCACACATCAGCTTGCTGTTTGGCCAAACTGGCTAGCCAGCAAGCTTTGGCGATTGAGAGAGCCAAGCAGACGCTTTAACAGGCTGTTCAGTATTCTTTCAGAGATGAGGCCTCAGTTTCAGTTTCCTGAGAATAAGCAAGCAGTTTCTGAAAGAACCACAAACAAAGAGCAATCAATCTTCAATGCCCCTAACAGCAGGGATGAGGGAGATAGTAGGTACTGAGCCTGGGCCATCCCCTACAGTATCTCAAGGCAATGATCAATAGGGGCAAATCCTCTATTCCCCAGTGGAACTTGACCAAACTTGACAAAGAAGATAAAACTGTAGCCCTAACAAGCCCCTACTAGCCCTAGCTAATTAGAAATGTACTAACATAGGTGCCACTTGCTTAAGCCAATCATAGATAGAATGATCTAACTGCCTTAAAATTCCTTTAGCTGTGTATAAATGGAGACTTCGAGCTTCTCTCAGGGTCGCCATTCTGCCTTTGTGTCAGATGTGTGGCCCCAGCATGCTGGAACTCTTGACATAATAAACATTCTTACTGATTACGTATGTAGATGGTGGTCTTTTGTGGGATGGCTCTAGGACCCTAACATGGATCTGCCTGTTTCCACTTCCTTCTCCCAAGCACTGGGGTTACAAGTGCCCACCATCATGGCTGGCTTTTTTTATACTTTCCCCTTCCTCCTCTCCTCCCAGTCCTCCCACCAACTCCCAGATCCTCTCCTCCGTTTCCCTTCAGAAAAGAGCAGGCCTCCCAGAGATATAAGCAGAACATGGCAAAAGAAGATACAGTAAGACTAAGCACAAACCCTCATATCAAGGCCGGGTGAGGCAACACAGTAAGAGTTTGAAAAGCACAGGCAGTTGAAAGAGTCAGAGGCACCTCCATTCCTCTGTTAGGAGTCCCACAAAAACACCAAGCTAACAACCATATCATAAATGCAGAGGATCTCGCTCAGACCCATGTAGGCTCAGTAATTGCTGCTTCAGTCTCTGTGAGCCCCTATGAGCCCAGCTTAGTTGATTCTGTGGGCTGTGTTCTCCTGGTGTTCTTGACCCCTCTGGCTTCTACAATTCTTTCTCCCCCATTCTACGGTGTTCCCTGAGCTACAAGGGGAGAGACCCAATGGAGATTTCCAATTTGGGCTCTCTCTGCCTGCCTAATGTTTGGCTGTGGGTCTCTTCATCTGCTCCCATCTGTTGCCAGTGGAGGCCACTCTGATGATAATTGGTCTAGGCACCAATTTATGAGTAAAGCAAAATATCATTAGGAATCATTTTATTGATTCCTCCCCCTCTATGTAGTAGGAAATCTAGTAGAGTCATTGTATCTAGGGTACATTAGAATGAAATAGTTGTTTTCACTGTATCTAGGGTAAACATCAGAATGAATAGTTGTTTTCTAGAAGTACTTAGACCTTGAAGAAATCATTATGAAAGATAGTGATTGTTTTCCATTATCTATAGAGTTGTTTTATGAAAGTGGTTTACAGCCTGTCTTAGGGTTTCTATTGCTGCAATGAAACATCACGACCACAAACGCAAGTAGGGGAGGAAAGAGTTTATTTGGCTTACACTTCAGCATTGCTATTCATTACTTCCATCAGGAAGTCAGGACAGGAACTCAAACAAGGCAGGATCCTGGGGGCAGGAGCTAATGCAGAGGCCATGGAGGGGAGCTGCTTACTGGCTTGCTTTTGCTTCCCCTGGCTTGCCCAGCCCACCTTCTTATAGAAGGTGGACCAACAGCTCAGGGATGGCACCACCCACCATGGGCTGTGCCCTCCCCCACTGATCACTAATTGAGAAAGTGCCTTACAGCTGGATCTCCATTGAGGGATCAACTGAAGCTACTTCCTCTGATGACTCTAGCTTGTGTCAAGTTGTCACACAAAACCAGCCAGTACAACTGACCCCTTGTCAACTTGACAAACAAACCCATCACTATTAAGTCACATCCCTTCCTTTCTTTTTCATCTCCAAGATCTCACATTAAAATCATAAACAATTTTAAAAGTTCCCAGTCTTTACTAATCCAAACACATTAAAATTTAGTCTCTTTTAAAATGTCTAAACTCTTTTAAAAGTTCAACTCTTTCAGCTGTGGGCTCCATTAAAAAAATCAAAATTAAATACCTTCTTCAAGAGGGAAGAACCAGGGCAGTGTTACAATCTGAACCAAGCAAAATCAACTCCAACAGTATAAGTAACTCAATGTCCAATTACCTGGGATTCACTCATGATCTTCTGGACTCCTCCAAAGAGCTTGGGTCACTTTTCCAGCTCTGCCCTCCACAGCACACAGTTTGTCTTCTAGGATCTGGCTGGCTCCACTCCACTGCTGCTACTAGTTCCATCCATTTGCCTGCAAATTTCATGATGTCATTTTTTTAACAGCTGAGTATTATGTAAGTATATCACATTTTTATTTATCCATTCTTCAGTCTAGGTACATCTGGGTTGTTTCCAGTTTCTGATTATTATCAATAATGGTGCTACAAACATAGTTGAGTAAGTGTCTTTGTGGTGGGATGAAGCGCCCTTTGGTTATATTCTCAAGAGTGGTATAGCTGGATCTTGAGGTAGACTGATTCTCAATTTTCTGAGAAACCATCATATTGATTTCCAAAGTGGCTGTACAAGTTTGCACTCCCATGAGCAGTGGAGGAGTGTTCCCCTTGCTCCACATCCTTACCAGCAGAAGCTGTCACTTGTGTTTTATATCTTAACCATTCTGACAGGTGTAAGATGGAATCTCAAAGTAGTTTTGATTTGCATTTCCCTAATGGCTAAGGATGTTGAACATTTCTTTGTGTTTCTCAGCTATTTGAGATTTCTTTGTTGAGAATTCTGTTTAGAACTGTACCCCATTTTTTACTTGAATTATTTGGTTTGTTGATATCTAGTTTCTTGAGTTCTTTATATATTTTGCATATTAGCCCTCTATTGGATGTGGAGTAGGTGAAAATCTTTTCCTATTCTGTCGGCTGCTACTTTGTCCTATTGATGGTGTCCTTTGCCTTACAAAAGCTTTTCAGTTTCCTGGGGTCCCATTTATTAATTATTGATCTTAGTACCTATACTATTGGTGGTTAGATTTTATATGGGTTCTGGGAACAAAACTCAGGTCCTCACACTTGCACTTTATTCAATGAGCCATCCATCCATCTTCTTAGCCATATATATAAAATATACATAAAGTATATTTTTGTAAAGCTAATTAAAGGTGATATAAATTAGTTGGAAATGGCTTGTAAAAAAAGCATGCTGTGTGATTTCTTAAGACAAATGTATTTATAATATGGCTATAACAAATAACAAGTATTTAGGCTTTACTTTTAAAAACTGGAATAACTTTATCATAAATGCTTGGAATAAAAACTTTGTAAGTGGCAAGACCTGGTGGCAAATGTCTTTAATCCCAGCACTCATTAAACAGAGGCAGGCATGAGGCAGGTAGATCTAGGAAGATTGAGGCCAGACTGGTCTACATATTGAGTTCCAGGCCAGCCAGGGTTACATAGTGAGGCTCTATCTGAAACATTTTTTAAAAAATATATAAACTCAGTATCATCAATCATGTCAGAATTTTCTACATGATGTACTTAGTATTTGCTGCAACTCCTTTTGTAGGTTCTTTATCCAGCACCTTGCTATTTTTCTTCTATTATCTAATTATCTGAAACTTTAGAGGAGCAGGTACCGCCCAATGAGGGTATGTGACTGCTTTGGTCCTATGGTTGAGATCCAAAGAACTGGGAGTGACATCATCTTGTACAATAAAATGCTCCTCTTGGTGAGCAAAAGGCCTACATAAGAAATGCAGATTTGAAGAGCTACAGTCCAGTTCATCCACTGTCTCGTTCACGCCAGCTTAACACAGCATCAGTTGGTGGCTGTCCTGAAGGATCTTCTCTGAAGTCATTGTATGGTAAGGAATCTCTCAATTGCCCTTTTAGATTTTGTGAGATTTAGATAATTGAACAAGTTTTTTAATACAGACCATTTTCTACCAATATTATGCCATTTTTTATTGTAAAATGTTAAGGGGAGGTGAGTTTTGCTAAATATAAGATGTAGCAATAAAATAAATTTATGGTAAGAAAGTCATGAATCGCCACCTGAAAGTACAGAAAATTGATGAACATTAGCATGATACTCTTTAGTAATTTCCTTATTATTATTATCAAAAATTTGGAATAACAATAATCCTGATATAAAAAGTCATCAATAACTTATCATGTGTAGCATATGTTTATTTTCCTGTAGGGTATCCTTATCTATATTTTAAATTTTATGACTTCTAAGGAGCTTAGCCTGTATACTAAGGTTGCAAAATTTTCCTTTCACTGTTGAATATTTATTCCTCTTACACAAAGAACAGCATTTTCTAATCTTTAAAACTGTGCAGGCATTTAAGGATGCTTTATGGTCATTTGAGTTCTTTTCATGGCATTCCTCTATAAGAAGTCCATCTTCCTCAAAAGAACAAGAAATAAAGCAGAGATGTCACTAGGTCACCTGAATTGATAGGACTAGACATCAATGCTCCTGTCCACCAGCTACAGTGCTTGTGTCTGACTGAGCCCAGATTTTCCTTAGTTACTCCACCGACAACTTACAGTGTGCAGTGAAGAGAAATATTGCAGACTATAAGTTTTCTTATACTACTTTTAAGGATGCAGTTTCTTTTTTTTAAAATTCCTATTGTGTGTGTGTCACTTAAAAAGTAGAGTAGTTACTGTTGTTTAAAAGCACTACTATAATAATAATGTCTGCAACTGTGGACCTACAGATTAAGCCAAAAATATGCATATTGATTTATGAGCAATAAAAAAGAACTAGAAGTTATACTAAAGCATAGCTGTTAAGTTGAAGCTATAAGATGCAGACACTCATTCAAAGCTCCAAGAACAATATAGAAGAAATTGATTTTTAAAAGCTTTGACACATACTTTTTATGTGTGTATTATCACACACATGTGAATATGTGCATGCATGTGAAGGCCAGAGGTCAGGGTTGGATGTCTTCCTCTATCATTCTCCACCTATTGTTTGAAACTTTTCCAATGCTAGAATTACAGGTGTACTGGTGCTGTGCCCAACATGTTAATATGGGTGCTGGGGTTTGAAATTAGGTCCGTGCTTATATAGCCAGCACTTTACTAACCGAGGCATCCTCCTAGCCATGACACATTGTTTTCATTGTAAGAGGTGTGTACATTATTAATACAGTAAAGATATCAAAATTAAACTGTACAGTTTGATATGGTGGTGAATGCCTGAAACCCCAATATGCTAGGGACCAAGGCAGGAGGCTCATAACTTCAAGCTCAGCTTGGGCTACATAGCATGATCTTATCTCAAAAATAAAAATAAAATCCTACAAATTTAGTATTTATGGTTATTATGATAGTATCTGAAAATAAGCTTAATCATAAAAACAGTGTTTGCTCACTAAACAGTGATAATTTACCTAATTAACAGATTAGTGAATTTCAAGCCTATTATAAACTTAGGCATTGCCAACATAAATATGGGAAGAAATGATATGTTCTTCATTCATCATGTGTTTTTAATTTCATGTTAAAATTTGCACAAGAAATTCAGAAAGCTACCTAAGAAAGCCATGTATCCAATTTCTCTAAGTTAGGTGTACTTGTTATTTTACTAATGTATCCGTTATATAAAGAAACTAATTTCGAAGACTCATGAAAACCAAGCCAATTGATCACTATGACATCAGCTAACTGCTGATTGCTTAGGTGGCGATGAACAATAACTACTAGGACTTTAGAACACTAATGGTATCTTAAACTATCTCAATGTTGTTTCTCCTTTTAGTAAAGATGATGTCCGAAAAAGCCATGGCTAAAGTAATGATCATCATGCTGGCAGTTTGTCTTCTCACCCAAACAGATGGGAAACCTGTTAAGTAAGTGCTGCAGCCCATTCTGCACTGGGAAGATGTGGACTTGAGGTTTTGTGGTAGGTTTTTATGATGTGGACATGGGGCTAATGGAGTGGCTCTCTTTCTGTTCTTCCTAGGAAGAGAGCTGTCAGTGAAATACAGCTTATGCACAACCTGGGCAAACACCTGGCCTCTATGGAGAGGATGCAATGGCTGAGAAAGAAGCTGCAAGATGTACACAATTTTGTTAGCCTTGGAGTTCAAATGGCGGCCAGAGAAGGTGGTTACCAGAGGCCTACCAAGAAGGAGGAAAATGTCCTTGTTGATGGCAATCCAAAAAGTCTCGGAGAGGGAGACAAAGCTGATGTGGATGTATTGGTTAAGGCTAAACCTCAGTAAGGGGCAACATTATATGCTGCTACCTTCTCAAGCTCTGTGAAGATCACCAAGTGCTAATACTTCTACTGTAATGAAAATCCAGAATTTTTTTTGATTCTACCTTTGCTCATTTAAGATCTCTTTCAATGATTCCATTTCAATGTTCTTTTTAAAACATGTTACTGCAGAACTTATAAAAGAATAACTTACACATTTCCACTTCTCTCCTTAAATAAAAAATAAAACTTTCATGATTATGAATCAAATTAGTAGTGTTTCTTACTTGTTAAAACTATTTCTCAGGTCTGGAGGCTGGCTCAGAAGTTAAAAGTGCGTACTGCTCCATCACATGACTTGAGTTGGTTCCCAGGCCCTGTATCAGGTGGCTCACAATCACCTGTAAGTCCAATTCCAGGAGGATTCAATGCCTTTAGCCTCTTCAGGAACTTACACTCATATGCACATACATATAATTTAAAATAACAAAAAATCTAAATAAATCCCATGTCTCTTGTCATGACATATACCCAAATGGTTTTACTGACATGAATTTGTAAAATAACATAAGAAAAAATGTCCTTAACTAATTTACCTCAGTTCTATATTTTGAACATTGCCTATTTTTAATTCCAGAGTACTAGGTCCTCAAGTGCACACTATCTGGGTATTGCTCTCCCCTTCTTTTTAGGAAACCCAATGAAATACTTAGGAAATGGGGTAGAAAATGGTCTAAGACTTGACTACAAAGCATTTGACACTACATAAACTCAGAGTATATCTATACTCTGAACTCCAAACTGCAAGGAATAGAAATACAGGGTTTACCCATTATTTATCAATCCTTATTTAGTGTCCATTATGGGTATATACCCATTTGTCTTGTATTGCACAGACATGGTTCTTGTCTCCATAGAGCCCCTAAATTTAATCATTAATTCATAACTTTGAGGAGTTCTAAGTATGAAAAACACGATATACTACAGGGGTGCAAAATATGGAGCCTATGATATTTATTTAGATAAGTGACATTGTACAAAATATTGTACAAAATGAAAATATTCCACACTCTCTTGTCTATAATGATAGTCACATTCACGTTCATCTAAAATGTGGCTAGTATAACAGTCAAAATTTGATTTTAACATAATTAAATCATCAGGTTGTGGTCCGTATTGGACTTCTAAGCTGTAGGTCCTCCAAACACCTACAGGTTTTCACTTCTAGCCACTTAGCATCATAAATTAGATACTATATATACCTTGATAAAAATCGAACAAATTTGTTTTTGTTTTTTAAATAGTAAAACTTACTATTTAGAAGTTTTTAATTAAACATATGTATGTTTTATTTAAAAAATAAAGATAAAAAGATTGGTGTGGTGACATTTGCCTTTGATCCCAATACTCAAGAGGCAGAGGCAGGTAAAGCTCTGTAAGCCTGAGGCCAGCCTGGCCTAGACATCAAGTTCCAGCCCAATCAGGGATATATAATGAGGGTGTCTCACAAAAATAAAATGGGCAGATACTACTTACTGGTCAGGTTATGCAGTAGAACTTTCTTGTCAGTTCTTCTTTGATCACAAAGCCTGTTTTTGCCCACATTCTATTTATTCTCTCAACCTGAATAATTCTTTAGATTAACTAGTCTAATGTTATATTTTCAAATATTTTCTTTTGCAAGAAATGGAATCAGTCTTTTTAGCCTCCCCATTTTCATGTTTATGCTAGAAAGCATCTAAATTAGTTTGGAGAATGAAACTGATATTAGAATGAACCAAAAGTATTTTCACCTAAATTAACTAGAAACTAATTAATTGTGTGTTTGGTAGTTTTTTTTTTTGAGACAGGGTCTCTCTATGTAGCTCTGGCTGTCCCAGAACTCTCTATGTAGACCAGGCTGGTCTCAAACTCAAAGATATGCCTCCCTCGGCCTCCCAAGTGCTGGGATGGAAGGCATGAGCCACCATGCCTCCTAACTAGACACTTATTCACATAAAATCACCAGAATATGACTACTGAGTATGTGAAGAGGTTTGTGGGGTTGTCATGGGCTCCACTTCTACCAAATCATCCTAAGTTTGTCTCCATTCCAGGCGGCCAGGAGTATGAGAATACTATGGATGGACCAGACCTGGAAAAGCTGATATTATCTTTTTAGATACAATTGCAAAATTAAAATTACTTATTAGCTTTAGGATAAATTATCATTATTATTTCATCTAGTCCATCAGCACTGTAAGATTCCTAATTAACTCTCATCTCTTTTTATGCTTTTTAAATAGGTTATATCTTCTCTGGATTTTATGTAGCTCATGTTGATTAATATATATTATACAGATCTGTGTCTATCCTGAAGAGCACTTAAAGTTTTATTATTTTGTTAGTTGAATATTTTTGTACAGAATAATATTGTTTTCTCCTACATGTTGTTATATTCCTTTATTAATTAAAATTGTGTGTCTTTTGATGAAATTTATTTTTCTAGACCATTGATCATGCAAAATGGCATATTTATCTCTTTTCTTCCTCATTACACATCTTTGTTTCTTATAGTTTTACCCAGTACCTATAATTTTTACTTTTAATTTATGAGGGAGGTTACTGTTCTTCCTTAATCTATTCTTGACCTTAAAAGTGATATCAATAGGGGCTGGAGAGGTGGCTCAGAGGATAAGATCACTGACTGTTCTTCGAGAGGTCTTCAATTCAATTCCCAGCAACCACATGGTGGCTCACAATCATCTATAATGAGATCTGATACTCTCTTCTGTCATGCAGGCAAACATGCAGACAGAACACTGTATACATAATAAATAAATAAATCTTTAAAAAAGTGGTATCAATAATTTCTCTAGAAAAAAAGGCTTTTAACATACATTACATTCCCTTTCATAGCTGGGTCTGCAAAGGGCTCTTTGTAAATATAAAGAAGCACTGGACTTTATAAAATGCTTTCCTTATAAACATATATAATTTCCACTTCTTTTTTTTTTTTTTTTTTGGTTTTTCGAGACAGGGTTTCTCTGCGTAGTTTTGCGCCTTTCCTGGAGCTCACTTGGTAGCCCAGGCTGGCCTCGAACTCACAGCGATCCGCCTGGCTCTGCCTCCTGAGTGCTGGGATTAAAGGCGTGTGCCACCACCGCCCGGCTAATTTCCACTTCTTATATATTAACTTCATAAATTAAATATTTTATGTACCTATAATTAAGTGTACATAACACAAATTAGGTTTCTTTTTTTTTTAGCTTTTTAACCACTTTATTAATTCATTTTGTTTTTTCAAGAGAGGGTTTCTCTGTGTAGCCCTAGCTATCCTGGAACTCACTCTGTAGATCAGGCTGGCATTGAACTCAGAGTTCCACCTGACTCTGCCTCCGGAGTGCTAGGATTAAGGGCATGTGCTACCACTACCCAGCTTATAGCCACTTTATGAAAGAATCCTTGAAATATAAATTTTATATTTCACTTTTAATTTTAAGCTAGCAAAGAATGAAATCAGGCCTTTTACAAGTGAATACAACTGGAGATCATGTTAAGCAAAATAAGCCAGACTTAAAGATAGGCATCTCATATACAGGATGTAGAAATTTGTGTATTTGTATGACATGAGAGGAGAAATGGAATTGTGAGAGGATAAATAGAGATCTATGGGGAGGAGGAATAAGAGAAGGCAATGGAATACATAGCTTTTCTTCATAAATAGTGAAGTTTATATTTATTACAATCTTGTGTAAATATATATGGTTTGTTTAAAAGACTGTATTTGTGGACAGTGGTGGCGCACGCCTTTAATCTCAGTAATAGGGAGGTAGAGGCAGGCGGATCTCTTTGAGTTCGAGGCCAGCCTAGTGTACAGAACGAGATCCAGGACAGGTTCCAAAGCAACACAGAGAAACCCTGTCTCGAAAACAACAACAACATCAAAAGAAAAAAAAAGAGAGAGAGACTGTTTTTGTGTATAAGGGTGTGTGCATGACTAGAGTCGGAGTTATAAGCAGTTGTGAGCTGCCTGATGTGGGTGCTAGAGTCTGAACTCAGGTCCTCTGGAAGAACAGCAAGTGCTCTTAACTGCTGAGCTATTTCTCTAGTCTCACTTTTTTAAAAGAAAAATATAAAAATGAGCATCCACTTTTCACTCTTGAGATAATGTAGTAGCATGTTGCAGTACCTTAGAATTTCAACATAGGTTCTTTGATCACACACCATCTTTTTTTTTTTAACCATATTCTTGTTTTAATGTATTCTCTTGGTTTTTATTCTAGTTAACCACATATATAGGCATTTTAAAAACGAACATCTAATTCAATTTTTTTTCAAATATCTGTTTTTGTAAATCATGGAGTCTCTCTTTCCCATATTCCTTTTCTCACCATCTACCATGGCTAAACCCCCTATTTCCCATTAAAGATTTTTGTTTGTCTGTCTTTTGCTAGTTAGTACCTAATATAACAGAGTGATATATATGAATTATTTGGGATAATAAATTGTTTGATTGGGATGACACCACAAGCTCAACTACCCTGCCTATCTTTTAGTCCCCAACCCTCTATCGCCAGGAGACAACCTTGGATTATTGGAACTCAGTTTCACCCTTCCTGCTTTGGAGATGTCTGAACTTCTCTTTGCATCAAAGGCTGCTTGTATGGACCCTTGACGAGAAAATTCTGTTCCACACTTGGAAGCTACCCTTTGCACTGTGGCATCCTTTTATTTCTTGACTGTTGTGTCTCAGGGCTACAAACATGCTAAGTATACACTCTAAACACTGAATTATACCCTAATCATAATTTATTATCTTGATCTCAGGATGTTTATGAAGTAAGACATTTGGATATTCAGGGTAAGGTGGTAGATTAGAAGCTGCCTCTGTGAATCTGTGACTTAGAAGAGAAATAAATCACAGACCCTCTTTTAAAGAAAGAAGAGGACTCCCCAGTCATCCTGCCAGTATTTGGGGTGGGAGAGGGCCACCAGACACCATCATAGAGAAAAGCAAGGTCAGATGTGGACATATTAAGAAATTCAGACAGTAGGGAATTTGGGCTGTGAAGGCGTGATGGTTCTACTCTCTGAACCAAGGAGCAAACTGAGTAGCATGAGGACCACAATAGAGAATTATAAGCCTAAACCTGTGGTCAGAAAACTGCTCATTGAAAGCTGTGCCTAAGCACACTGGATCACTTGATTTCTGGCACATACCCCCACCCCAACCCCCAGGGTGATTGACTTCTAGGCAAAATCTGAAACTCCTGAGACAGGAGGGCTGGCTTCTTTCTGTTCTCTCCCTCTAGTACAAATCTCAGATCTCTACTCCCCCTGCTCTCTGAGACACATAGAAGATACCACTTGGCTTGCATATTAGATACCCCTACACACACACATCAAGGACTCTCAAGTG